ATATGCAAATGACACAAACTTGCTTGCTAAAAGTGAAGAGGACTTGAAGCATTTATTGATGAAAATCAATGACTACCACCTTCAATGACAGTATGAATTCAATTTTTGAAAACAACAATCATCACAATTGACTCAATAAATTATATGATCTCTGGATAAAAGATGGATATGGTCAAAGATTGCATATTTGTTTGTTTAGTTTCTTGTTCTACAATCAACGTCTATGTAAGTAGCAGTTAGGAAATCAAATGCCATTTCACAATAGGTGTAAATCTACTGCAAAAGTCCCCTTTAAAGTATTTAAAACAAGATTGTCACCTTGGGCATCAGAGAATAATTAACCCAAGACATGGTATTTTCAGTCATCTCATATGCATGGGAGAGCTAAACTATATATAAGAATAATGAAATCCGTAATGTAATGTCAGTGAGTAATTTTGTCACACTGCAGAATGTTAGAAGAACAAACCAGTAGTGCTTGGCAGAAGTACATCCAGAATGCCTCTTAGAAGGGAAGATGAATGTTGTCTTGTATACATTGACTATGTTATCAAGTAATACTATTACCTGGACATAGACAACATCATGCTTGGTAAAGTAGAAGTTCAGGGAGTGTACAAAACCTCCAAATGAATGGGTTGACCCAGTGTCTGCAGCAAAGAGCTCAGAACAACAATTGTGAAAATGGTACAAGATTGAGAAATATTTGTTGCCAACTCAATAGTACATAACAAAAAAAGAAAGAATGTCTTGGTTCCTAGAAATTTTTTGTATCCTGGTTTAGGAATTACTTGTGCTAAGTTTAAGAAAGCTAGAGAAACTACTACTCTAAATTTATACTGTTTCTTAACAAAGACTAGTTTATAACAAAGACAAGTATTATATTTTTTCAATTTTTAACCAGAAAATCTTGTGAACTTTACAAGTTAAATATTCAAGTTTTTATTTTCTACATTAACATCCTTGGTACCAGCAGTAAGGAATTAAGGAGACACATTGCACTGGGAAAATCTGCAGTTAGGGACCTCTCCAAATTATTCAGGAGTAATGATGTCAGTTTGAGGACTAAGGTGCATCTGATTCTGGCCATAGTCTGTCTGATTACTTGCTATGCTTCTGAGAGCTGGGACAGTGAATACGGATGACAGAAAAAGAATCGATGCCTTTGAGTGGTAGTTTTGGAGAACACTGAACATCCCATGGACAGCCAAGAGAACGAACAGATAAGTTTTGGAGATCGTGGAGCTAGAGTGCTCTTTGGTGGCAAGAATGTTGAGGCTTTGCCACACGTATTTTGGGCTTGTGTGTAGGAGGGGCTATTCCTTGGAGAAGGACATTATCCTGGAAAGGGTAAAGGATCCTTGAAGGAGAGGAAGACCTAAACCAGGCAGATTAACACTGTGACTGCTGCAATAGGTTCTTGTGTATCAGAAAGTGTGAAAATGGCACAGGGTAGAATAGGATTCATAGGGGATTTGTTTATAGGAATGTTCTGAATCATACTCAACTAGACAGCACCTAACAACAACAACAAAAGCTACTTGAAAACTTAGTTTTTCTAAAGGACAGATGTCATTCAAAAGAACTTTGCAAATGAAGATTTTTTTAAAAAATTAGAAATTATCCTTGGAAATGAATAATTATTTTAAATATCTGGTTATTTGTTAACTTTTTTTTTTCTGAAAACGAAGGTGTACATTTAGCTATTTGTTTTTTCATTTTACCACTAGAGGGCCCCAATGAGTGCCCAGCTCTATCGCTGAAAAAGGTGGTTTTTGTTTTGAAGATTTAAGTTTCCCTTAGATACTAATTGTGAGAGACCACATATTTTACTTAGTTGTAGCAGAGAGAACTTAATCAAACATTTGTCTATTAACTTTCTCAGTGTAATTGTATTACCCGAGCTCTGAACGAGAATGATTTAAATGTACATGAGAGACTGCTTAATTCTAAAAAAGTAGGTCATCCCATGTATATCTTGAAATTTTTTATGTGATATCAGACTAGTCAAATTAATTTAGACTTTCTTATAAATAAATATATGGTGATAGAAAAAATATATTCAACCACGGCATCATCAGAATGCCAGTCTTCTCTGGTCTGTGCTTGCTTCTTTCGAGATTGCTGCCAGCCTCCTCTGCTTTCAGGGTTACACCCACTTCTCTCTTCTCACTTTTATTTCCAATCTTTAATACAAATGTAAGAAAGTTGCTTCAGAAACATTGAAGCAGAATCTTTGAAACTAGATAAAAGAGAAAAGTTCTCAGTGGAGTTCTAAATATTAAGAAGAAGGGAGGAAAATGAATAAGGAGAAAAGAATTAACATTTAAACCTAGCCAACAGACTGGAAGAAATCTATACTTGTTTCATTCCTCAAAAAGTAACCCTACAGACTGTGGAAATTATCGAACAATGTCATTAATACCACATGCAAGCAACATTCTGCTGAAAATTATCCAAAAACGACTAGAATAGCATGTCAACAGAAAACTACCAGATGTGTAGGTTGGGTTTAGAAGAGGCCATGGTAGTAGGGACATTATAGCTAACGTTAGATGGATCTTCCTGAAAGTAGGGAGTACCAGAGGAATGTCTATCTATGTTTCATTGACTATGCAAAGGCATTTGACTATGTGGCTCACAAGTTGAGGCTGACTCTGAGAAGAATGCGAATCCCAGGACACTTGATCATACTTATGTCAAACCTGTACTTGGACCAGGAAGCAGACCAGACCAAGGAAACACTGCATTGTTCAAAATCAGGAAGGGTGTATCCTATCTCTATACCTTATCAATCTATATGCAGAACAGTTCATCTGGGAGGCTGGGCACTCTGAGGAGGATTGTGACATCAGGATTGGTGGTAGACTCTTCATCAGTCTGAGTTAGGGAGATGACACAACCCTGTTTGTTGAAATAGGAGGACCTGAAGCACTTGCTATAGAAGGTCAAGAATGCAGCTTTCAATATGGATTGAAGCTCAACATCAAGAAAACAAAGATTCTTACCACTAGGTCAACTGGCTGCATCATGATAGATGGTGAAGAAATTGAGATTGCTAGCAGCTTTAGTTTGCTTGCCTGCGCAATCAACTCTCTTGGTACCAGTAGCCAGAAAATCAAAAGACAAATTGCATTGGGAAAGTGTACCCCCAGGGCTCTGTTCAGAGTACTGAGGAACAACAATGTCAGTGTGGAGACGAAGGTGCACCTGATCCAGGCCATGGTCTTCGCAATTACTTGCTATGCATCAGAAAGCTGGACAATGACGACAGATGATAGAAGGAAAATTGATGACTTTGAGCTGTGGTGAAGAGTATGGAATATACCATGAACTAATAATAGGTCAAACAGGTTTGTCCTAGAGCGGGTGAAACCAAACTGCTCCTTGGAGACAAGGATTCTGAGGCTTTGTTGAACACACTTTGGACATGTTGCAAGGGGGACCAGTCCTTGGAGAGGAACATCATGCTTCGACGGGTGGATGGACAGTGCAAGAGGGAAGACTCTCCATGAGATGGATTGATTCAGTAACTGGAGTAATGAGGGTAGGTGTGTCAGAAAAAAAGCCAGGTTAGCACAGGATAGAGCTGGATTCAGGGATTTTCTATATAGGGTTGCTATGACTCCCAAGCAACTCAATGACACATAACAACAACAACATCTTTTACTGTGGACTTGCTATGTATCAAGCACTGTGCTGAGCATGTCATATGATTACCTCATTTAATCCACCTAATGGCTCTATGAGAACGTTAGCTGTTTTTAGATACCATTGAGTTGAGAACTATTCCTATTGTCCCTATGAACAACAGAACTGAGTCTTGTCCTATCTTGTTCTACCATAATCCTCTCTATTACACTTGAGCCTGGTGCTGTAGTCACCATGTAGTAGCATTGAAATTATTTCTATTTTATTGATGAGAAATAAAGCCTTATGGAGATTGTTTTTGTTGTTGTTGATTGCCTTTGAGTTGAGCACACGACTCATAGTGACCCCATGAACGAAAGGCCAGAAGCCCCTCTACAACTATTGACATTTATCAAAGTTCATAGTTTCCTGAGGCTTGTTATTTAGGAACTGGATGTCACTCCTGCTTCCAAACCTGTCATAGTATGTTATTGTTTTTATGTGCCATTGTATTGTGCGATGTATAGCGACTCTATGTACAAAAGCTCTGACTCCTTCCTTGTCCTGAGCCAATCTCACTAACTCTGACACACCAACCCCCGTTGCTCCAGTCACTATATCAATCCATGTCATCCGGGTCACCCTCTCTTGCACTGTCTGTCCTCCCTTCAGAGCACGATGTCCTTCTCCAAGGGCCTATCTCTCCTAGCTACATGCCCAAAGTAATTACGGCACAGGGAGATTCTACATCAAGAATTTAAATCCAGGTGAGTCTTATGGCATCAAGTCATTTATAGTATTAAAGGAGAGAAAAATTTTCAGCTTCTTTTCTAGGAGTATGACTATTAAATAACAGTTCTTCATCTAGAATGCTCTTTCATATTGAGAGAAGCATAATTGTCTCATCTTTGAAGGGGGATAAGTAAACATACATAAGTATTTTTCCTGATTTTCACCATTTGTAGGGAGCTCTGGTGGCCTATTTGTAAGGAATTGAGCTGTCAACGCAAAAGGATGCTGATGGAGATCAAATCTACCAGCTGTTCCTTAAGAGGAAGATGAACAATCTTCTTCCATGAGATTTACAGCCTCTGAAATGTCACTGTAGAGTCAGCTGTGAGTTGGTTGCAACTCAATGGCATGTAACAACAAAACTTAGGAGTAAATATCTATCTACCAATATATGTAATTTTTAAATGTTTATTCAAAGAAGTGTCTATGATACTGTTTACAAGTTTTTTGGTCTCTCTGAAAAGTCATTACCACCTTCAGTATTTGTAATAGAGTGCTATTTACTTAACATGTACATGACTCTTTTAAAATTGTTTTTTGTTAACACTTATATTTCAATTTTTTTCCTCCCATTGTAGGGTCAAGCTGGTGACCCAGGACTTCCAGGACCATCTGGCCCTCCAGGACCAGAGGTAAAATGTGGGTGGAAAGATAATAAATTCCACATTTTAAAATGTATAGATAAATTTTATTACTAAACCATGTTTTTAGATCGCATAGTTAATGAATATTATCTTTTAATGACATATCTGTAAAATTTTTTTTCTGTTTTGTCAAATAGTGTTAGTATTAGCTACATTTTAGACCTGATTAGATCACAAATAATCTACTTATTCTCTCCAACTATAAAAAAGCACATACTCCGAAATTAAACTCTCATCTTAGAATAGAAACTTTGTATAATTGTTAATACAAACTATTTCAATTCTTGTTTCTACATGAATATCGTATTCTAGAGTAAATATTGAGTATATGTATTCTTTAAAAACGTTTTTCATAGTCACACTTAATATTTATTCAATCATTTAATTTAAAATAAAATTTTAGTTGTATACTAATTTACTTATATACGAAGTTGATATACATTGTTTTCGCACCATCTTTACCCAATTCTCCCTTCACCCATCAAATTGTGCACCATTTGTGCCTCAATTCTCATTTCCTTAAGTAGTAAGGAGTAGTGCAATAGCTGGGTCATATGGAATTTCTATGTTCAGCTTTTTAAGGAAATGCCAAACGTCCTTCCAGAATGGTTGTACCATTTTACAATACCACAAACAATGTATAAGAGTTACTATCTCACCACATTCTCTCCAACGTTCATTACTTGCTGTCCTGTTAAACTTTTCCACTGCTACTGGAGTGAGATGGTATCTCACTGTGGTTTTGATTTGCATCTCTTTTTTTTCCTCAATTTTTTTATTATTAATTTTAATGAAAATTTACAGAGACTTTGGATTTCCATTCATTCATTCATTGTTGCACTTTTCTCTCTGCCCCCCCCCCAGTTCACTCTCTGAAAAGTAAAAGAACATTTCTTTCATTGTTTTACAATCCCTCCCCCAAGTTCCACTCCACTATGCAGGCTTCGTTCTGGACTCCCAGCATGACAATAATACCTACTCGCATATCCCTTTTAAACAGTTTTCTCCCTCATCTGTTTCATTGCAGTATACATTATTTATCCCATCTTTCTTCTTTTATTTAGAGTTTTTGTTGTTGTGTGCCATTGAGTCGCTTGCGACTCATAGTCTTATTTAGTGTACCTTTGTAAAAAATTTTATTTTGTGTAGGTTTACATACAAATTTTATAAAGTTCACATACACTGGTTTTTACACGGTCCTTTCCCCCTTCCTTACCAGTCCCTCCCTGCACCCATCAAATTGTGCAACCCTATATTTAAGCCCCTCCCCCCCACTGATAAGGTGAGATCAGGCTGCTCCTTTTATGTAAAAATTCTGAAACTTCATCTGATGTACTTTGGACATATTGCAAGGCAGGATCAGTCCTTGAAGAGGGACGTCATGCTTGGGAGAATGGAGGAACAGCACAAGAAAAGATCTTCAATGAAATGGAATGATTCAGTGACCGGGGTAAAAGGAGTAGGTGTGTCAGAGACAAATGAGACAGGATAGAGGAGGGTTTAAGGCTATTGTACATATGGTCGCTATGAATCGCAGGTCACTCGATGGCACATAACAAAACAAAACAACTTCCCCTACTTGGATCCTCATACATGCTCTACAATAATGGTCCTATACAGTATTTGTCTTTAATTTGCTTTTAAATTCTATAGGCTAGCGTTTTATTAAGGATATTTGCTTCTATGTCCGTGAGAGGTATTTGTCTGTAGTTTTCTTTTTTTGTAATATCTTTGCCTGGTTTTAGTATTAGGTTTTTGCTTGCTTCATAGAATATTTCTGAAAGTGTTTCATCTTTTACTGTATTTTTCAATAATTTAAGTAGAAGTGGTGATAAATCATCTCTGAGTGTTTGGTAGAATTCACATGTGAAGCCATCTGATCCAGGACTTTTTCTGTGGGGGAGTCTTTTTTATGACGTGTTGTATTTCTTCTTTTGTCATTGGTCTATTCAAGTGTTTGTCCATTTTCTCTTAGTTTTCAAATTTATCCAAGTATAGCTTTTCATAATATTCCTATATTGTAGATGTAATTTTCTCTGGTTCTATTGTGATGTCACCCATGACATTCATTAATGAATGACATCTCCTTTTTTCTTTTGTTAAGTTTGCCAGTGGTTTGCCAATTTTATTGAGCCTTACAAAGAACCAGCTCCTATGCTTACTGATGGTTTTAATTATTATTCTGTTTTCTGTCTCATTGATTTCAGCTCTTACAGTTAAAATTTCCTTTCTTCTAGAGGCTGTTGGATTAAACTGTTGTTCTTTTTCTACTTGATAAAGGTGTTTACTGAGATAATTTATTTTTCTTCTTTCTTTGTGTTGTTTGTGTTTTACTATTGCTGTGAAATGGCCCTTGAGGACTTCTTACTGCATGCCAGAGGTTTTGGTACATTGTGTTTTCATTATCATTTGTTTCAAGGAACTTTTTGAGTTCATTCTTAACCCAACTGTGTTTGAGTAAGGTGTTGTTTAGCTACCATGCTGATGGCTTTATAAGTTTTATCCTCTTGTTGTTCATTTCTAGTTTTATAGCATTGTTGTCTGAGAAGATACTTTGTATGATTTCAATATTTATTTTTTTTAAATTGTTGAGGCTTGCTTTGTGCCCCAATATGGAACCAAATCTGGAGAATGTACCATATGCACTTGAGGAAAAAGTGAATTGAGTTTTGTTCCGTTCTTGGGCTTTTTTCCCCAGGTTTGGTTTGGTTGTTTTTTTGTTTTATTTTTTTTTCTTTTTTTTTAATTTTTTTTTTGTTTGCTTTTTTTTTTGGCAGGGTTGGGTTTTTAAGTTTTCTTCCACTTTTTGTGTTGTTTTTTTTTCTTTCCTCAGTTCTGTTAACAGTTGTTTTCTGTATTTAGCAGATCTATCATTTCAGAATAGATGTCAACCAATGTTTTGTCCTCTTGATCTGCTATGCTTTTACTCACTATATAGTGCCGTTCCTTATCTTTTATGGTGGTTTTCATTCTGAAGTCTATTTTATCTGAGATTAGTATTGCCACTCCTGCTTTTTATGGATGACATATGCTTCGTATATTTTTATCTAGACTTTGATGTTGAGTCTATCTTTCTCTTCATTTATTACATGTGTCTCTTATAGACAACATATTGATGGGCTTTGTTTTTTTATCATTCTGCTACTCTTTTTCTCTTGATTGGTGAACTTAGTCTATTCACATTAAGTGTGCGTATTTACAGGCCCGGTTGTATTATTGCCATTTTGCTGTGTTTCTTTTTAGGTTCTTTCTTGTTATTATTTTCCATGTGTGAAGGAATTCTCCTAAAAGGTCTTGTTGATTTGGTTTCGTTTTCACAGATCCCTTAAGTTATTTCTTTTCTGCAAAGGATGTGATTTCTCCTTTGTATTTGATGCAGTAGAATGACAGGAAGGGCAATTGAGTATGGAAATGCAAAGGAAGAGGAACAGTTGTAAGCAGACACTAGTGATTGGAACATGAAATGTGAGAACCATGAATGTAGGAAAATTAGATATTGTTAAGGAGGAAATGGAACGCATAAATATTGATATACTAGGCATTGGTGATATGAGATGGACCGGCATGGGGCATTTTGAATCAGATGATCATATGATATACTACTCCAGAGATGAAAAGGTGAGGAAAAATGGGGTTGCTTTCACAGTTAGAGAAGCCATTTCTAGATCCATCTTGAAGTACAATAATGTGAGTGACAGGGTAATATCCATACATATACAAGGAAGTCCAGTGAATACCACTATCATTCAGATATATGCACCAACAACCAGAGCCAAAGAAGAGGAAATAGA